AGAACAAAGGCAAAGGAATGAGGCTGAAGAGGGCAACATGCATGCTTTATAAAACCCCAAACCAAACCAACCTGTAAAAAATGATAAAATACTTTGTTACAGTATATATAGCCTCTTTAAGTGCAGGCTGGGGAAGCACCTTAGGGGCTTCAAGTTGGCTCCAGGAAGAGGGCAAGGGTGGGGAATAGGACAAAAACCTGCAGGCGTGTTTTCAGGCAGTGTTTTTTGACTACCATCCCACTTCATATTTATTTAATGAGAGAGAAAGGGGAAGAATGGAGAAAAAGGAACCAAAAGTCTCATGCAAGCATCTTACACAGAAGGGAATGCAAATTTTTCAGTCATATAGAGGATTCTGAATTTAAATTTATAATTAAAAATTATAAATCCATCTTAAGTTTCACATGTTTGCATCCACTCTGATTCGAACTGCAGCCCCATTCATGAGGGGTAATAATGCTCCATACTTAAGAGACAGAACAAGCAAAGACAACTTGTCAGGTAGCATGACACATGCCATGCAGGGGTTCACAGGATGTACTAGGTTAAAGTTCAGGACATACTAGATTTAAATTAAACAACTAAACTAACTCAAAACTCCAATTAGCCTTCACTAAATATGTTTTAATAACAGATCACAAATCAAATTGCCCTAATGTACTGCTAAGCTGCATGAATGACATCTGCATATACAAAATGGTAGTCTTAATTCAGAACTACCAAAAAAGCATGACAGTTCTTGTGCGAAGTACAAGAACAGCACAACTGCATTTGGTACAAAGAAAACTGAGGAACCTACACTATGCCTTGTGTTTTTGTAAGAGAAGGAAGCAAGCTCATGTTTTAGGCCATCTTTACTTAGTTGAAACACATTCCTGGAAGTATTTTTTCACTTTTTAAATGTAAATGTAAGGAAACTTAAACAAACAAACAAACAAAAAAACCTCAAGAACTTAACCAAAGTGTTTACATGCCTGCTGAATATTAAAATACCCATGTTGACTCTGAAATGAATGTTTGCTGAGGGTCTTACCCTGAGCAAATTGATTCCCATGCCAACCTCTATTGAGGAAGCTCAACTAACCCCCCTTTTTTATTAAAAAGGAAAAAGAAAGAGACAAATTTGCAACTGTCATTTTATTTGTGTCTGAAAATCATGACAGTAGTGCCAAGGGTCTTTGCTGAGCTGGGCATATGACAAGCAGTAAACCCAATTTATGAGAGCTGGGATTTCACATGTAGATTTTTGTACTTAGTGAGGGAGTGAGGTTACTGACTCCTCCCTGCTAGATTTAGAAGTGTAAGTTAAAAATACCACATAGTACGAAAAGGTAAAGAGTACTGACAGAAGAAGGAATTATAACTTCAACATACTGCCACTCGGTATCCAAATTGCAGAAATGCCCCCTCCCTCCACGTTTATGATAGCTGAAAGATGTTACAGGAATTACTTAGAAATTACAATGTCTTTCAAATTAAGTAGTTCACCCAAGACACAACCTCAAAGAAAAATAAATCCTGGTGGCAGTGAACCTTCTTGAAACAATGAGTAGCGCTTGTTGTTCAGCAGAACTAATATTTCTTGAGGCTAAAGTGAGTACAGTGGAATTATGAAAACATTCCTTTCTCCATTCACAAACCTACCCCTAAAGAACATCATGTTGAAAACAGGAAGCCACCCTCTGCTTGAGAATTCAAAATTCTGAAAATAACTGGGTTTGGAGGGTATTTAAAAAAAAAACCCAAGCCCTAAAACACTGAAAAAAGGAAGCAAAATCCACATTTAATTGCTGTTTGAAGCCCTGATATTGCAACACCGAGAACAAAATCAAGACTACAAAACAATCTTTGCTTACAGTTCCAGGCTAAGAATGCATTTGTGACAAACATAAGTATCATTCCAGGGTTTATAGAACAGAGAAGTTTAAATTAGGTTTTAAGAATCTTCAAGTTGTTCATAAACAAAAGAAAAGCATAAAAGGTGCTTGAGACTCAGAAATAAAAACCGAATTTGATTAAGAGCTCTGCTTCTCTAATGCTGCCTTAGAGAACTATATACAACTGCATCTTTTTATATACTTGAGCAACTTGGTTTTGCTTTTATTCTCTTCCCCTTACGTGGGCAAAATAAAAGCTATGGATTGAAGTACAGCCTAAAGCTGTTAGGACAACAGTATAAAATGGGACAAAAAGATCTCTGTCTAAACTGATGCTTGGCTGCATCTTCATATTACAATTCAAAAAGTGCTACAACAGCTGTATAGTGACTACTATTTTTGACTACTGACACCTAGAAATATCCTTGTACTATTGATAAATCTAAACTGAAGTCTATCTAGAACTAGTCTATCATGGCAAAATTTCCCCACCTTTTAAGTTATTACCAAAACTGGCAAAGATTAGAAAACTTCGGGGAGAACCCCCATCAACTCTGATTAATCCATAGTTTGTTTAGAGCATTTTAAAAGAAGAAAATTCTCATCTTTAGTGTTTACCCATGAGGAAACTGCCACTCTATGTATACCAGAATAGGAGAAAACCGCACAGTTTAATCCAAACTCCAAACTCCTCCCACCTCCCATTTCTAGCATCACAATATCAGTACCCATTATGAAACAAACTTAAGATCTAATTCAACAGTGCTTTTCCAGAAGTTATGTTCTCTTACGCAGGAGAGCAGCAGTAGTTTGGGTTTACAGTTCGTTCATTTGGACATCTGAAAACATCTTGCAGTATCTCAAGATATTCTGTAAGTTAGACAGGCAGACATTCATTTTACAGAGTAACTGGAGAATGGAGACAGGCATTAGGAACAAAGTGTAAGAAAAAAATTATACTGCAATAAGAGAGTCCTAATATGAAGAGAGCAATTGCATGAAATAATACTCCTGTATTTCAGGACATAAACATTACTTTTTCCATAGAAAGGTCGGACACTTAAATACTGACATACACCAATTTCAGATTAGGGTGGAAATAAAGCAGTCTCCACCTTTGTGTGCAGCGTAAGCATAAGCTAACGTTACAAGCAGTATTAACACCAAATTTGGAAAATTACTGCATTAGTTCTCAAAATATGAATTATGCATGTTTTCATCCAAAGCTGTATGGGAAGTGTTCTGTTTCTGTACAAGCAGTTCAAGCGTGAACTTCTTGAGCGTTGGTACACAAAGCAGTTATCCTGAAGATATGTGAAAGTTTGTTCAAAAATCTCAGCAGCCAGGATTCTTTTCTAGATTTGGTAACTGCTTACATAGTTCCAATTCCTGTGGGGAACTGGATGTTCACCTCCTCAGCGGGAACAGCTTCTTATGTCGCAGTTACTTAGATATGAAGAAAATTCTTTCATGTGTTTTTTCCTTACGCTTCATGTCCGTCACTTCCTCCACATCATTTTGTCATGCATCTTCCATTTAACAAGCAAGACACTGCTCCCTTGAAGCTTGCCTAAGCCTTCAAGGAGAAAAAATACTGGGGTTTAGGTATTACCTGGGTTATGAAGTGTTCGCTTTACAAATCTGGCCTAAGTTCTAAATATAGGGGAATGCATGTAGGGGTGCATTTCACTTTTTTTTAGCACAATCTTTGGATGGTAAAGCCTCACGTTTCTGAAAATTCTCCTTCCCTGGGGTTCAAACTGACTACCTCTAATGCTGAGGAACCATACATTTATTATTCCACAGAGCAACCAAGAATACTTCGGTACAGAGCTTTTGAGACAAAGCCTGAAGCTCCCTGTAACTGATACTCTTAGACTGGACACCAAGACTTAGACCAGGGGCTCCTCTCTGATGTTATTAAATAATTTACTCTCCCTCCCACCCAATGCCATCTGTACAGCTGCCTGAAAAAGAACCACATTAAAAAGAAGACTGATAAAAGGACAACTGGGACACAGAAGTGTTACAAGACCTGAATAAGCAGGGGTTGAAAATGAAGGGAGGAAAAATACTGATTAGCTCATCAAGGAGGAAGGTACCTAGTGAAAAGAAGTAGAGCATCTAGTGCTCCAGTCTCATCTACTCTGGGGACCAATCGGGATGCAGAGAGTACCAAAGCAAGATATTTATGGAGATCATTAACCACATGTTCTGTTTCTAATGATAAGTGAAAAGGAATTTCAGTCTTAAGTCTGACTCTGTACAGTGAAAGAGTGTATTACCTCCATTAAACAATGGTGATGACTGATGAAATTACCAGCAGGAAGGATCAGCTGGGCTCCTTAATTCACTTTGGGCAAACTATCTCAAAGCTTACCAGTATTAGCTAACCTAATCTCACTGAACTTGCAGGAATGGATTAGAACAAGCCCTGATAATTCTGTGCCAGAAAAACAGGAGGTACCAAGTATTTGGGTGTGACAGTAATTTTCAGCCACACAGCCAAATTCAGGAAATCATCCACAGTCCACGCATTCCACTTCACAGTCCAACAGTGTTAAGAGATATTTAAAGCCTGCAAAACTCTGCACTCAATACTGCAAGAATGCTCTTCTGCAGATTTCCCTGAAATCAAACAAATACAATTTAATCATGCAGAAAAATCGTACTTTCTCCCAATAGTTTTTGGGGGTTTTTTTAGGCTACACTAGGTCAATTTTAAGAATTAATTCCTTCTAGAAATAAGGAAAAATAGCAGGCAACATATTTTCAAGTTCCCAAAACAGCCACTAACGAAGTCTAACTTTTGAAGACAGGTATTTTTTTGTTATGTTTCTCTGTCACATTAGAACTTGGAATATTCCAAGTCCAAAACTGTAAGCGGAATTTCTTTCAGTCAGAAATTCATCCACCCTAGCACATGGGATGCTATTGGAAGTAGTATCTATGGCATGTATTTGTCAGAAGACAAAGCCGTAACAGCTCCTTTTCATCCTAAGATGTATGAATCTGCACTGTGCAAGAGATTTAAAAAATAAAAAAAAAAAAAAAAAAATCAGTATCTACTAGCACTACTAAAACACAAAACATTCAAGTAGTATATAACTGTAATGCAAGCCCTTGCATGGCAATCCAAATTTATTGAACTACTGATGCTAAGTCATACAAAATTGCACCACTTTAATTAAGGCTTTTAGTTTACATTTGGCCACCTCAAAGCAGTTGTAACATTAGGTTGGTCAATTTAAATACTGTGGCTCCCTGTTGGATATACACACAATCTTTACACCCAAACGTTAATGCATACAAAGCAACAAGGCATTGTTAAATAAATCAGCAAAAGTTAATTACTGCAACTTAGGCCCTGTGACCAATTACACATGATTAAAATTACTTCCCACATTCACATCCACAGTACTCTTCCACCATTTAACATCTCAACCAAAACGTTACACATGTAAAACAATCACTAACAGGCAAAAGTACTAAACCTGTATATTTGGTATTGCAAATACACTTATGCATGAGCAAGCAAGGGAATTCACAGTGAGAATCTACAGCTGCAGAAGCCCGAAAATGATTTACAAAAAATTGTTAAATCATTAAAAAATTGTTTTAAAATATACACTTCTTGTTGTAGACCCCCACTGTACACACAACTATAAACATTGTTCCCTATGTAAACAAGGAAAAGGAAACATACAATAAAAGGTTGAAAAGTCTGGACATTTCCTTCCCAACAGATATTAAAGGCCATGTCTTTAGTCAGACGTTATACTGAAAGGACTCTTAAAGACTAGATCACTGTCTCCACAGGTTTTTCCTAAAATTAAAAAACTATATAGCTGTTGTGTTAATCAAAGCGCTTTTGTACAATACGATGATGATGATCCTGTATTTCTTTAAAAAAGTTACAATAAGCTACAAATACCGATGAAGCAAAGTTATCTGGAGTAGTCTATATAGGAGCTCTTTGGACTTTCTTTTATTATGCTAAAATAGTGGTGCTTTTAGGATTTACATTATTGTACTCTCCAATAGAAAGTGGGGATTGTTGAAGTATACAGTACACAGTTTTCATACATGTACAACATTGGTGGATGAACAATGTCTCTTATCAGTAATACTGGATGTAGGCTCTGGTTTTACCAGTTGCATACACTTAGAATATTTATAAGTAAAAATCTCTCATGACACTGGAAAGTGATTAGAATGTGCAAACTGATGTAGTAGCTTTCATCCATTTCTTAAAGGGTACCACCACAGGAAAGTCCATTTAAGATGTTGGTAGGTTTAATAAAGTTGGAATGCTGGCACTGTTGAATTGGGCAACAGTTCTTCAGACCTGTAACAACAAAACAAAAGGTTAGTATTAGTATCAGCTATTTGTCACTTCTCTTTAGTTAAAACAACTAAAGGACGAAACAGTTAAAACAACTAGCAAAGTTCTTGGCAGACTCAGAAAATAACCTTATCGCTCTCCTCTACTAATATCATTTCTGCTGTACACAAATAACAGACTGTCTCAATTAGTAAAACAGAATTGGGATACATATGGTAATCCAAGCTGAACTGTGGAAGTAATATTTAATGGGTGGGACTAGTTTTGCTTACAGTATGACAGTTCCAGTGGCTTTAAAAACTAAAAATACATTTGGAGGATCAAAGCTCTTGAATCAAAAGCCCTGTTAAGGAAACGGAGCAGCCGTTTGCCATCCTCAGCTAATGCTTTTGGAACCCTCTCAGTTTACTTTGAACTGTCGTTGTTCAAATAAAGTATTAATATTGATACATGAAGACTTAAATGTGGCACTACCTGAATATTAATAAAAGCTTGCAATTTATGACAATGGAATGTCCTAGCAGGATCCTCCAGGATATCAAATAGGTCTATTGGACGACAAAATAATTGATCATAACACTGAAGCAACTGAACCACTGTATGTCCAGTAAAACAACAGAGAATCAAGATGAACAGGCAACTCTAATGATGTCAGGTCAATCAAGAGGGAACCTCTGCCCATACTCAGGCTTGCATGTGGAAAGATGGAAACAACCTGCCCAAGAACAAGTTGCAGGGGCAAAAAAACCCCAAAAAATCATGGCTGCTCACTAAGTTCTGAAAAGGCTGGAGCTTGCTTGAGCCTTCAACAGCATTCTTAAAGCACGGATTTAGTCGCGCAAACATTAACCAACTGCCAACAAGTAAGAAATCGATCTAGTAACCAATAGCTCCAGGTCAAGTATTCTCTTCTAAAGGTACTTATTACAGTGCAGCCTGTAAAATATCTATGTAGTCCAAAGCAAGCAAGAAATTCTTATGGCATCATGCAAATATCTGAAGGAGTTCAAAGCAGGAAGTGACATTTTAGCATGCAAACAGCAATATTTTACAATGTGCCTTCCTGATAATTGAATTCTTGCAATATATTCTGTCAGTCTTTAAAAAAGGAAACTCAGTTTCCAAATGCTAAAGTTTTGCAGTATCAGAGCAAACACTGTTAATTTGAGCTCTACCAACACCTTGAAGCTTGGGGAAAAAAAAATATTTCATTGTGAACGTATCTTGCACATATTTGTAGTTCTGACTTTGGAATGGCAAAATAAAGACCATAAAGATTTCTATGATAATGTAAATCAAGAATTTTCCATGCTGTTCTGCATCAACAGCTACAACATTTGTTCAGGTTTTTTGTTGTTTTTTTTTGTTTCTTATAGCCATAATACACAGAAAATGTTAACAGGTTTACCTGGCTCAGAGCTACAGTACAGCTATGTATTAAAGTAGCTGACATGATGACTTTTTACGTGCTTTTCCAGGCACTGGAGTTTTTCTGTTAATTTGCCGCACAAGGTCATAAAAGATCTGAGAATATAAAAATTCAGTTGGTTATTGGCATTAAAAAGGCTTCTCTCATAACCTTAAGCCTTGAATCTTCACACATAATGTCCCCACATACTCACAAACCCCTGTAAATATTTAGTTATCAGTAAGTCAGAAAGTTAAATCATATACTTAGTTAACTTAGTTGGTTTTTCTGCTTAAGATAATTGTCTGCCAAGAGTTTTCCCACTTTCAGTGAAGCAAACAGGAAAGGCATCTATAATCTGCAGCTATTTAACTCTGGGTCAAATTTATCTGAACACACGCGCTACATGTCACAGTGATCAACTACTAAATGCTATTACTTTGCAATTTAGTACTGAGGTCAAGAAACAGCCCACAGCTTTCTTCTAACTCACTAAGGATATTCTTTTAAAGAAAGTTCTAGTAAGCTTTAACTACGCATTTTCATGTTAACTCAAGCTGCACCTTCAGTTATAGTCTCTTGTCTCTGAACAAGATCATGCTCTTTAAGGTAAGTTTGAAAATACTAAAGTCCAGAGAATTAATTCAGCAGCCTCCCTAGGACTACAGCATGACATAAGCGTAACATTTCCTAGAAAAGTAACTCATGTATGAGAGACTCTCACACTTTGAGCCTCCTAAAATTCCAATTAGAACATGATTTTGTTGAAAGGCTAATTTAAGACAAGTCTACATACTAGAATTAAACAGCATATGTTTCATTCATAATTGACATTGTTCTAATTATTTCTGCATCTCCTAAATCAAGCAAGTCCTCATAGTAAAGCCATCCTAAGAGTTTCCTAAGCACTGGCTGCAAAGCAGCAAACATTTCAACAAGGGCTTTTAGTATTTGATGGAAGTAAGTTCTAGTTTATTAAACATACGACTTTCATATAGCTAAGCTGATTAATTTGTATTCAAGAAAAACTGAATAGTTTCCAGGAATTCCCAACTAATTAAACACACATTACTTATTTTTAAGATCAGCTGTGCTTAACCCCACCATACTCTCTTGATTACATACAAGTCTTGCACGGAGGCCCTTTCAACCTGACTGATGCTGCCAACGTTTTCCAGAAGATATAATGAACTGTAGCGTTTACCATAAAATTCAAGCTGTTCCAGAAATGTAAATACTAACAGTTTCCATTTCTAAACATTTTCACATCCCTTTCTTCATGCTTGCACCCCCACTGGGTAAGAAAGCATGCACTATGGCAAGTCCCAAAATGCATGTGTGTGATCAGTCACCTAGCTCTTGCTAAATAAATAAATGGCTAGATGGTAGAGAGGCTTTTGCTCCCCTTTTTCGTTACAAAGCTGCTAATTTTGATAAAACTCTGAAGAGTTTTTGTTCTTACTATCTCAAATAATTTAATACCAAATAAAGAGTTTAAGGACTTCACTCCTTTAAAGCTCTTAAAAAAAAAAAAAAAAAAAAAAAAAAAAAAAAAAAGTAGCCCAGCAGTATATTCTCAGTTGATAGAGATCATATCAAGTAGGGAATGGGGAATGTAACATGCAAAAAGTATTTATCAAATTCATATGAATATAATTAGAAAATTAATTATGCTAAAATCAGTATAATTTCAAAAAGTCACAAGTCAAAGCTTAATATAATCATCTTAATATAAACACCCTTAATATAAACATCTCAGATTCTCACAATAGTAGGGAAAAGTTCTGTCCATTATAGTCAATGTTATTTACAATTGTTAGTTCTTCCTTGACAAACAGTAAACATTTGGTTACCAGAACAGTGTCCCACCCTTCCCTCCCTGCCACCCCTACCTTCTGTGGGTAACATGCCTTACCTCATTAACATTTATCTTTGATTTTGCAGAAGACTCTAAGAATGCACAGTTATTCCATTGCCTTGCTAGGTTCTGACCTTGTTCCTTTCCCACAACTCTTTCATCTTCCAAGTCACACTTATTGCCAACCAGAATCATAGGCACCTAAAAGCCAATTTAATACCCGCAAAGAAATCATTAAAATTCTGGGAAAGCACAATGTAAATGGACACCTAAAAGCCTATCTGAATCCTTAGAGGATCCCATCTTTCAGAATAATCAAACTCTGGTATAACTGAAACTGAAGTTTACCACTGTGCGATACTTTCATGTTCAAATCAAACTGACTGTGTTTTCTGCCTGCCATTTGGCAGGGTGGTGGGGAGAATGGTTTGAGCATTCAGTAGACACTCAATTGAGCAAATTCCACATTTTCCAGATGACCTAATGAGATTTCCTTTTTACATGTTTAAGGCATCAAGAAGCCTACCAAAGAATCTGCTACAGGATTCTTGCGTGTTCAGAAATCCTGGAAAAAGTGGCCTGTACTGGGTAGCATGAGGAAGGATGGGAAAGCTCATTTCACCACACCTCTACTCCCAGCATATCTGTGCTCCTTGCAAAAGCAGTTTGCTCACACAGTTTTCATTATTAAGCTGGTGTACACAAAGGAAAGAAACACGTTACCTTATCAAAATTACCAACTATAGAAAACAACAAATTGACCTTTGTGGCAAGAAAAGGCAACCACTCAAACTTGTTCAGTCAGTCAGCTGTCACCTCCCCCGTTGCCCCTTTCCTCTTACTAATTTAAGGACATAGCTACATTTTTCCCAAATGCAGTTGTTGAAAAAAAGGTTTACAATATTTTGACCATTTAATTTCCCCTCACTGAGAAAGCAGGTAATGCAAGAATGTAAATTTTGGTGAGAACTAAACTTGTCACTTGAAGCTCATTATCTTTCTCCTGATACTATAGAATGATTTAAGACTGAGGGGAGTATCCTAAAAAGAAATACAATTCCAAGGAAATACTATCAAAATACTAGCAAAGAAAACTTATACTAGTCAGCATAAATATACCATGTAAACTAAGGTTTCAAGTACGGTCACATTGATCTTGGTTTTTGTGTACAAAATTAATTTGACGTTAAACAAGGTTATAACTTGTTTAACACAAAATATAAACCCACACACAAAATATAAAATA